GATGGAATTGACACGAAAGGCTATTGAATGATGGAATTCCACCTTCATGGTGAATTTGGAGTATTTAGGGCAAAATCTGGTGTGGTATGATTTGATGTTAGATTTGAATAGCCTCCTAGATAGCCTCCAATATACATAGAGAGAGAAACTTTCTTGGGCCGCACATTCAGACCGTTTATATAATATGTATGTCTATGTAATACATGTGTCGGTGTCTACAGACACGATAATAAATAATTAGATGTGCTTATTACTTAGTGTAACGGGCACAAATTTTTTTTTCCTCCTAAATAGCATCCAATACATAAACGAATATATATTTTCCTAAATAAAAATAATATCTAATATATTAGTTTTTCCCATTTTTCTCTTATAATGGCAAGATTGCATTGCTGTGAACAATGCATGTTAGGACCTAGGCTAATCAATTCTAGTGTAGTATAAACTGTAAAATGCGAATTATGTAGTTTTATAGCTGTATAGTTTTTTGTGTCTAATCTCAATTTACTTTAATTATGGAGAAAAAAAAAAGTAATCGCTTAACAAGCATCCAAAACTAATATATATCTTTATTATAAAATAATTATATCTTTATAAAGATTACATTTATTATTCTTTGTGAATTTAAAGGTTACGCCATTTTATTATGACTTCTATCAGAACCTCCACCAAGCCTGTTATTGCACTCTCCTAGGCACGGCCACCGCCACTGTCAATGTACCACCGCACATAGATTACCACCACTACCATTCATTTCACTCTCACCAATGTTTTGACAAATTCTATAAAAAAAATGTTATTTAAACCGACCAAATTAACATAATAAGAAGACCGAATGTGTGGCAACTGTTCCATGCACAGTGTGGAACCCAATTCTTTCGGTTAACGTATTTGCTTGTTTGATCGGTTAGCTCGATTATATATATATTAATTTGTTTTTGACAAGAAACCAAGTATCGTTGCCACTACGATCTTAAATTCTTATATTTTACTTTTTGAAAAGTAGAAGAAATATCACTTCACATATCTATTTAAATAATATTTTAATTTGTAGAATTATAATCTTTTATTCATGTACGTATTGATAAATAATTTACACACCTACTTTGTTTTTTACAAGAATTTGTGATTTTAGGGTTTGCTTGATTTGTTACTTAAAAAATAGTTTGGAAATAGAAAATTGTAAAAGACAATTGGACATTTTTATAACTTAATTTAAAAAAAACTAATTTAAGAAAATTGAATCAGACAGAATTTTTGTACAATTTTTAAATTTTAATTTAATATTTTAAAAATAAAAAATTATTTTTAGAATGATAAACCAAACAAATATAACGGTTAACTTCTATTTTAAGAGATAAAAGAGAAACTAACCACAACTTTCAATAATTATTTTGAATTATAATTGCAGGTAAAAAAAGAGAGGGGGAAGCCAATCTTGATACAATGTTTCTTCCTTATACTATATAGTTTGCTGTTTCCATAGTTTTGAAATCCACTTAAGAAAACCATTAACTTCCGGTTGACTGATAAAACCTTCCTAACTCTTAAAAAGAAAAGGAGGGGGAGTTCGAGTTCGGGATAATAAAAAAAAGTGTGTGACTATTTGATAAATATATATTTATTTTTTTATATCTAATGATTAAGATTGAATTCGTACATAAATTTTTTACATATCAATAAACCAGTAAACAGTCTTCTATATATATATATATTCTTTGCTCCTCAGGTGTGATCAAAAGTATGATTTATGTTAAATTTGAAATCTTGACTACTGCGATACACGTAAAATACTATTTTTATTTATGTAATATAACATTTATTATTAAAATATTATTTATGGTTGAGGTTAATTATTATGTAATTTCAGAAACCTGTTGAATTTGAAGCCGCTAGTTTTGAAACCCAACTACGAGACCATGTCGGAACTTGATAAAGTAGAAGAATATATGTGACTTTGCAGTCCAGCAATCAAACTTCTTACATCTGGATTAAATTAATCTATATTATCCATAACTAGAAACATATATATATATATATATATATATATATATATATAAAGGTTTTGGGAACTTATAGACGTTGCAGGGGATTAGGGACTCATTGAGCAACCCCATACAATAAAAAAAAGTTGTACATGAAGTAATTACCGACTTTATTATTATTATTATTTTTTATGCTAGTAATCAATAAGTTATATAGCAAATATCATTATTATTTACAATCGGTGGTATTTCAGATTTTGTCGTCTTTGATTAATCATTTGTTACCTTCTTATTAATGTAAATAACAATCCGTCTCATTATTTTAAGGGCAATGCTTCTCTAATCGCAACAAAGGACTACCAGCCCCCAAATGCATGTATTGAGAATCAACATTGAGTCTCAATGCATGCATCTTAGGGTTGAGAGCCCTTTGATGCAACATGCTATTAGAGTATAAAGGTTCAACTTTGATATATTAACTAAATATCTTTTGGCTTAGCGATATAATTTTTCTATCCTCAAAAAAGAAGGGAGGAGTTTGAACCCGGACGTGGACAAAATGGTGTACGCCTGTTTGTTTTTACCATTCAAGAAATTTTATTTTAAAGAGAAATCTGGTGAATCAAATAAGAAGATCACCCCCTCTAGGTCTGATTGTTCGGTGTTTTTCCCTAGCTTGCTTTACTTTATTATTTTATTTTGCGATTGTCAATGTTTAATTGTTATGAATAATTAATCAAATCATAAAGATCAGGTAAGAAGACATATTTACCACCTCTAGGTCTGGTTCACCCCCTTCCACTAAATTTACTAACCACTTTCGTATCCCGACTCACATGCCTTCCATAAATCTAGCAAGATTTAATTGTTCACTAGGATCATGCATGTTCATGGTGCTTTATTGTGAAAAATCCAATACATACGTGCATGGAAGACTTATTTAGCTACAGCAAGCTATGACTGCTGCATAGAATTGCTTGTTAGAATGAATTAAATTGAGATATTTTACTAAGTTAATTTAATTTTAATATTTGTCGCAATTTTATTGACCACATTAACAAGTTGGATGAAGTTCATTCAACCTGAATTGAACTCAAGTATTTTTTTTTTACTAATCAGAAGCTAATGTGAAATTAAATTGAAATATTTTACTATGACATGAGCAATGACATTTATTGATATAGCTAGTAGTTGAAAGGAAGATTATATCAAGAATATAGGCATGTATGATTGACGTTGTCTTTCACATAGAGTACCAATTAGTTTCACTATTAAGTAATAGTAAATGAGGCCTATTTTCAGATGAAAATCTGCTGACAGCCTCTCAACTCATTTGAAGGAAAGGAGTAGACCTGGCAGTACAAACAGGCTCATTTTTGTATTTTTTCAATTAGTAGATGAACTGGAAAACTATAGCCGACATTCTTGACCGATAGATTGAAAGCCATTGCATGCAACAAAGCCGGATTGATGCAATGTGGTCCCACTTAATTGCATCTAATGGTTTTGAACTTCTCTTTCCCCTATACGGCTCTAGGATTTGGTAAATGTATCATCACCTTTATTAGTACATTCACCCTTTATCAGATTATCACTTGTATCGGCCTAACTGTACTAATTTCTCTAGGAATGTGAGGGTTCGAGTTTAAAAGTTATAGTTTAATAATATTTTTTTAATATCTTAAAGTGAGGTGAAAGTTCAAGTTCTCGTAAACACAGACGTGTGTATGAATTTCCTGTCTAAGAAAAGTTTGACACGGAAAAACAATGATGTTATCATGCCAGTTAAATTCTAAGTAAATAGGCTGACTTGGGGACACTTGATTTGCTACCGGAATCGAAGTAATGGGGCAACATTTTGGGTCTACCAACTCTTGGAAGGATGCAGATTATGCATGTGCCAACTTTTTAGGTTTTCTTATCATATAGGGTATGGAGTGTTAGAAGCTAGTTTCGGGGTCATACTAGGAGTCTAGGATACTATATGGCTAAAACTTGGAAGAATATTGGATGCTTTTGTTAAAGAGTTATATTAAACATGGGTGGGGTGATAATATTTCACATGAAACGTTAAATTTTAAATGAATACGATTCGAACACGATATTGAATAAATGGGTTTGAATTTGGCTTAATCGGATTCGTGTCATAATTATGTCGACTCGAATTGATAAGATAAAATGTATTGTGTTCGTGTTTGAACTACTAATCTATTTATAATCGGTTTAATTAAATATGTTAAATAAATGTGTTGTTTTCATGTTAAAAATGACTCGTTTAGCTAAACGTGTTGAATAAACATATTGTGTTCGTGTCAGAAATGACTTAAACGTGTCATTTCATGTCTTGTCAAGTTTTAACTTATTTATTAAACGGGTTACGCGTGTCGTGCCATGTTACCCGTGTAAAAATTGTGATGTGTTTGTGTGACGATTAATAATCGTGTCGTGTTCGTTTCGACCCATATAATAGAATACCTATATTCTAACACCACACGAACATAACCTGCCAATACGAATTGCGACCCCTGGACACATGTGGTTACCAATTTACTTTCTCATTAACAAGTGACATTCACGTTGGTAAAGAAATAGTATAATATTTGAGAGTTAATATATAGATATACCTATAGAGTGTTATATGTAAATATGTGTGTGTGTGTTTTATATTTATACATGTGTATGCATTAAACAAATGGAGGCGACCACAGGCTTATCATCTGAAGAAGAGCCTCAAAGAAACATTTTCCAATTCCAAGCACATGCAGCTCTCATGGACAGCTTCCCTATTTAAACCTCTCCATCCCTCTCACCCCCCTCCACACATTTTCTTTCAAAACAAACAACACTCTTTTCTCTTCTCCACTCTTCTTTGTCCCAATCCATCTATCAACGTAGATAAACTATTTCCTACACTTGGAAAAGTTGTACCATTCTTTCTCTCTCTTCTGTCTCATCTTTTACTACTACTTTTACCTCAATCTCCTGCATAATCCCCAAACACATTACTACCCAATTATGGCTAATGCTTTTGATCCTGAAAACTTCTTCGCGCGTCGATGCTTATGGGTTAATGGACCCGTCATTGTTGGTGCAGGTCCATCTGGTCTAGCAGTTGGCGCTGGCCTTAAACAACAAGGTGTGCCATTTATAATGCTCGAAAGAGCTAATTGCATTGCCTCTCTATGGCAAAACAATACGTATGACCGCCTCAAGCTTCACCTTCCCAAACAATTCTGCCAACTACCCTATTTCCAATTCCCAAACAACTTCCCAGAATACCCAACAAAATATCAGTTCATTGACTATCTTGAGTCCTATGCAAAGCACTTTGAGATAAGCCCAAGGTTCAATGAATCTGTGGAGTCTGCTAAGTATGATGAAACTTGTGGTTTGTGGCGTGTCAAGACCGTTACTAGCAGCGGCTCAATAAAGGGTGAAGTTGAGTACATTTGTAGATGGCTTGTGGTGGCCACCGGAGAGAATGCAGAGAAGATGGTGCCTGAATTCGAGGGCTTGCAGGACTTTGGTGGCAATGTCATGCATGCTTGTGACTATAAGTCCGGTGAGACTTATCGTGGTAAGCGTGTGTTAGTAGTTGGTTGTGGCAATTCAGGCATGGAGGTCTCTCTTGATCTTTGCCACCACAATGCTCATCCATCTATGGTGGTTCGAAGCTCGGTAAGTCAAAGTTGTTTTCTACTACCACATCTATGAGAAAAACTTCGTTGCATCTTTAATACTTCGTTATCGGTGTCCTCAACCAATTGTATCATGTCACATAAATAAAAATTATTTTATTTTAGTAGGTTGTATCCTCGCAATATGTAATAAGTTGGTGATATCATGTCATCGCTATAACAGGCTGGTCCGACTCAATTAAGTTTTTCTCTTTTTCTCCACATTTGTACCTCTTTAGGTCTAAATTTTAATTGGGTATTTTCTGTTTTGATCATTCAACAACAGGTTCATGTCTTGCCAAGGGAAGTTCTTGGGAAATCGACGTTCGAATTAGCAGTTTCAATGATGAAATGGCTGCCAATTTGGCTAGTTGATAAAACACTGCTTGTTATTGCAAGAATGGTGCTTGGAAATATAGAGAAGTACGGTCTGAAAAGGCCATCAATGGGACCTTTACAGCTCAAGAACACTGAAGGAAAGACTCCTGTGTTGGACGTTGGTGCTTTACAGAAAATTAGATCTGGTGAGATCAGGATTGTCCCTGGAATTAAAAAGTTCTCGCCCGGTAGAGCCGAGCTTATTAATGGTGAAAATCTTGAGATTGATTCTGTTATTTTGGCAACAGGGTATTGCAGCAATGTCCCTTCATGGTTAAAGGTGAGAAATTTTTTTTATTTTTTTATTTTTTATTTCTATACTTAAAACATTTTATATTATATGCTATGTTTTCTATTTATGGATTCATGTGACAGTTATGGAAGTTGGGTTTCTTGTAGATTCTCTGTTCCTATCCTGTTACTGATCAGGTTGTTGGCTCTGTTTGGTGGTTTTATTGTCATATTTGTTTTACAATATTAAAAGAAAAAAAAAAACATATTTTTTAGAAGTTTATTCTATTATCCAACTATGTTGTGGAATTAAATTTTCCAAGATATACTGATAAATTGTTACCAGCACTTTATATTTAGCTGATCGATGTTGATGTAGTCTGTGAAATAATTGCAGCTGACAACTGATTGGGTGTTGTTTGGTATTTTATTTTAACCATTTGAGTTGAAAAATGTTGTAAAAGTGTCTTGAATGTTTGGCTATATAGGGACTTATTTTCCTGGATAAGAGGATAAATGGGCTAATAACTTTTTTTTTTGTTTGTGTTGTTCAGGAAAATAAATTCTTTTCCCGAAGTGGGATTCCCAAATCTCCATTTCCAAATGGGTGGAAAGCCAAAGATGGTCTCTATGCAGTTGGGTTCACAAAGAGAGGTCTCTCTGGTGCATCATTAGATGCCATTAGAGTAGCTCATGACATTGGCAAAATCTGGAATGAAGAAACAAACCACAAAAAACATTCGGTCACGGTCGCGGTCGCTCGCCATAGAAGATGCAAATCACATTGCTAATATGGTGGATTTAGTACTAATAAGGATGTCTCTGCCATTTTTTTTTTTTTTTATCAATTTTCCTTTGTTAACTTGTTACAGATTAGGAAAAAAAAAAGAAAAAAAGAAAAAAAGAAAAGAAAAAAAAGATTGTTACAGATTAATCAAACTAAGTTCGGGTTGTGTACAAAATAATGTAACAAGAAAGGGGACACATGAAACTGAGAGCAGCCCTCTTCAGGAGAATACCAAGTCCTAGCAGGGTTTGGGCATTTTGTGAATAGGAAGATGAGGCTTTTTGATGTTCTAGTTTTAAGGCTTTTTGTATACAAATTCAATAATCCATGTGAAATGAAAAGAACTTCTCTCTCTCTCTCTCTCTCTCTCTCTAAGGCTTTTTGTATACAAATTCAATAACAATCCAAGTGAAATGAAAAGGACTCTGTATTAATCCAAGTAAAATTGAATTGGACTGTGTCTCTCTCCTCCCTATCCAGTCTTCACAATCTGATTTTGGTCCACCTTGTTATTAATAAGACTCATGGGCTTTATCTCCATTATCTGGTCCACAAGAGGGCCCATTAAATATTGTGGGCCCATTTCCCATTAATTTCTAACATCTATATTCCCTTTAATGCGACACTGACACTAAGTCTTGACTGGTCTTGCTTAGGAAGTATATACTATATAATTTCCGAAAAAAAAAAGTATATACTATATACATGAAATCCTCTATTTTGTGGTGCCCTGCACATGGATAGAGCCCACAACGAGGATGAGCAATAAAGAGGAATGTGTAGGTGAATTCTCTAGTTTTGGCATAATTTATAGCTCAGTGACTGTGTGATTCATATTTAAATCTAGGTCCATTGAACAGTTTTTGACCAATATCAATTTTGTGTTCCAATACTCTGCATGTTTGCCACATCTATCTCTACTAGTCATGACCACATATAGGTATAGACATCTTAATTCCGAAGTAAACAGTTGAGTGCATGAAGTTTTCTCTATTCCCAAAAGATCTAGGAATTCCCAAAAGCCTATCACAGAATTTCAACCCTCTTTCTTCCACAAATTACCCTTTCCAAAGTCAACATGTAACAGTAAAACACTGATGCCCAGTTTAAACTTTATAGTCCTTTTTTACCAACACACTTTTGGGTGGGACTATTATTTTCAAAGACTATGAATTGAATTGCCACCAAGGGTTGCTGATTCGGAATAATTTAATAAATTTTCAGATCATTTAATATTTAGCAGGCCAATTGAACCAAAACAACTAGTATTGTCCTTTTATTAAATGACTCCTTACAACGAGAAGAACTTATTTGAATCGGAGGTATAATGCTGCTTATTCGCATAAAAAGTGGACTCTATTAGTGGATCCCACCACTATCGTGAGTAAGGTGCACCGTAACTTCGGCTCAAATAATGTTTTCTTCCTTACAACTAATGTGTTATTTGAATCATATGTCTTTTTATAAAATTAAAAATAAATAAAAAAGAAAAAAAAAATAACTTACTTTTTTTTTTTTTTAGGTTGGTCAAACTGATACCAAATCACCACCAATATTTTCTCACCTTTTCAAATAGAAGGATGATGGTTCATCCTTATCTATTAATATAATTTAATTATATCATGTCATGTCAACCGTATAAATAAAATGGAAAGTGTTGTTTTTATTAAATATGTCTTTGCAATGAAATCTGCAAGAACCAATTTAGTACAAGTGAAAAGGAGTAAATAGTAAATACCCTAAAATAGTTTTCCATTTTATTAAATAAATGTTCACAACCATTTATATGAAATAGTCACATCATAAGAAATGTGTATCACCACAACTAAACCAAACATAACCACAAGAAAATCCTCTTGCCATGTAAGTCAATTATTTTCCTTCCCCTCGTGTTCAAACATTGTTTTAACTTTTTCATTTTACATATGATAAAAATATATATATATATGAAACATGAATATTCCTTAAATGACCAAAATAAAATAAAAAACATATAGAAAGACAACCCATATGAGTCCCATGCTGTTGATTTGAAGTTTTAAACATGCAGAAACCTTTCTCTTCAAACTAAGATCTTTCAATGTATATATATATATATTAATGTGAGGTCAATTTAAAAACATATATAACATATAACATGCAGCAGTTCTCTTAACTTGTTTCACGCACAGATTTGAGTTTTTGGATTTTGCACCACTTCCAGATTGCAACTTGGGAATTACAGTTGTATTTCTGTCCCTTTTCCTTTGGAGCTTCTACATTATTTTTTTTTTTTTTTTTTTTTTTTTTGTCACTGATCTGAAACCTTCCATATAGAAACCACAGTTTCCAAGAAATTAATGGAAACACATGGGATGGTCACTTCCAACATTCCTTAGTTTCTCACCAACAACCCCATTCCTTCTTGTGTGACATATGTCTTGGATTCAATACATTGTTTGCTTTCTTTGGATGTATGAAATAGTCATCCTGGTTTCTAAATCTTGCATACTTTTTTGTGCAAGACTTGATAAACAAACTAATACTGATAGAAGGTATATGGAAGAGAGAAATGAAGAACAAATTAAACAAGAAATATACAGTAAAATGCTGTGCACATAAAGCCTAAAGGGTTATGCCTCCTTCGCTAACGTCTTCAAACTTTGATTTCCAATGACTGCCATAAGTGAGAGAATACAAAAAAAATCTGGAAAAATGAAATTTGTGTATTTAATTGATGGGAGATTCTCAAAATCAGTTGCAGTATATATCACTCCTATCAGTAAATTAACAGTCAAGGGCTTGAATTTTATATCTAACAATGGTCTAGTTGGCACATGGGACTTTTAATTGAAGTGTCAAACTAGAACTTAAAAGTAGAGTTGCCAAGACCAATTGCTCACTATTAGCTCGACTTTTAATTTGTGTATTTAATCAGATTTCTGGTGTGCTTTTCTGTCCTCAACACCAACACTGCATTTATACTTATACAGGAGTAAAAATGTGTCCAAAAGGCGACTGGAGAGCAGAGTAAACTAACAGAAGTGAAAAGTCCCAAGGCTGTATCCAATATATATATATATATGTTGTGGGCTCCACAGCTGCGTGAGAACAGTCTGGTGTTGTTAATTTTATTATTTTCCAAGGCTTCGTTTGGTTAGATGGAATCAACTAAAAAAGAAAGGAAAGAGAAAATTTTTAAATTTTTTTTAAGTTTGGATAGATGGAAAAAGAATTGTAATAGAAAATATAATTTCCCGCATTAGACTACTTTCTCCCAAAATTTTTCTCACATAAAATACGGGGAAATAATATTTTCTCGTGAAAACTGCTTCTTTTTATTTTAAGTTCCTATCTTATCCAACAATTGAATCAAGTAAAATAATTAATTTCTTTATTTTCTAACTGGGTTTCTTTTCTACTAGAGGCAAGTTCTTTAACAATTTATATTTTAGTGGACTCTAGAAGGCAACTTCTCTCTAAACATGTTTTCTTAAAATACTATTTGGACGAATTTTTTTTTTTTTGGGTTCTAAATATATACATTGTATCAGATATATTATACACCTTTATTATATAAACAGAGAATAATATATATAATTTTCTCTTTTTGTGTTTTCTGGTTGAAAGCCCATGAGTCCATGAGTCCAAATTTTTTTAAATTTTTTATTTTTATTTTTATTTTTAAGCTTCCTAATTTCTTTTAAATGAATAGATAGTTTTGCTTCTAGGGTTCTACCTCAGAAGTGTTGAAGTATTGTTTTAATTTAAACACAAATTTATTTATTTTTTTAGTATTTGAAATCATAATGGTAATTTTGGTATGCATAATCACTTTCTTTTCATTTTCATACTATCCAAACTAACAAACTAATATTTTATTACAATTTTCCTGAATAAATTTTCATACTAACCAAATGCTTCATAGAAAACAACTTTTCTTTTCATTCACTTTACTTTTCTTTTATTTTATATTTCTTTTCTTTTCTTTCTTTTTTCTATCTAACCAAACAGAGGCAAAAGAAAACATGTACAATAGACAAAGGGGGCATACTCCCGGATAAGAGCAGGCTACACTAACCAGCAAACAAAACTTGGGCTAAAAACATGGATTAGTTAAGTCCAACACACAAATCAAGCCCAAGACAACAAAGTCACAGACAGTGAAGTCCAAAACACGCCCAACCAAGTCAATTGCCCTTAATCCACATTCAGAATATGAACAACAGTAATGGAAATAACAGACCAACAGGATAGGAAAGTCAACGGAATTAGGGCACAACCTCATCAAAATTTCAAGGCAAGAGCACTGTCAAATCAACTAGCCAAGCTAAAGAATTTTTTTTTTTTTTTTTTTTTTTTTTTTTCAGTGGGGTAAGAAAAATGGGTTTGGGAAGTTCTAGGTTTCGCATATTTATTTGGCACAAGGAGAACTACATTGCCTAACTAAGAAGATGCGATTGAGAATTTATTGGCAAATGATATTTTTATGCTATGTTTGGTATGCATGAATGAAATGGAATGGAATGTTCATTCTAACCATTTTTTTTGTTTAATATGCAATTTAAAATAGTGGGAATGACCATTTCATTGGAATGAAATCTATTCCACAACTAAACTTATGGAATGACTATTCCATTCCCAATTAATGTTTTTTAAAAAATCAAGTTCTTAAGACATCCTTATGCTTCAAGTGCATAAACCACCACCACCACCTTCTGCCACAACCACTGCCAACTTTCACCATCACCGCCACTCTATTGCCTTCCACCACCGTCATTGCCAATGCCACCATTGTTGCCACCTTCAACCACCACACCACCGCCACCTCCACAGCCTTTAGCCACCGCCAACACTGACTTTCACCAATGCCACCACCTTCCACCACTATCACTTTCAACCACCGCCATTGCCACCACCACCACCACTACCATCAACATTACCACCACCACTGTCGCCGCTTTCACCATCACCACCACGTCATTGCCACCGCCACTATCGTAGCCGACTTCCACCACCACCATTGTCACCACATCCACCAACGCCTCCACTGCCACTGCAACCGACTTCTATCACCACCATCACCACCGCCATCGCCACCTCCATAAGCACATTTACCACTACTGCCACCTCCTTGGACTATCCCAATTATACTATGTTCCCCAAGCACTCCTTGGTTCTCACTTAGTGGTTACACATGTAAGGACATGTTCTATCATTATCTGCAACTTCTGAAGAGTTGGTTTGGTGGTTGAATGCATGCTACAAACTTTTAGCATGTTCGGACCTGCAGATGGAAACCTCAGCATTCT